TTCGATTTGATGGAAATACATGTAAAGAACCTCTGCCACAAAATTGACTTTAACCTCGAATTTCAAGGTTAAATTTTTCTTTTCTTTTTCTTTGGATTGTATTCTACTTATCACGAAGGTAAAACTTCTTCCAAGGAACAACCATCGGTCGCAAAATGGCAAAGAAGCTTCTTAATCATTTAACACTGCGGACGCGTGCGGCCTAACAGCGACTTTATGAACGCGAACACGTGGATGTCTATTTAACGTAATTTTCGTATTAGATTTCACTAACATTTGATTTATCACAGTTATAACATCAGTGTGAGTATCTAAATAATGATAGAACTAACTGTTAACATTATTCGAAGTATAAACGTAATACAGAAGCATAAAGTCGCTGTTAGTACGCGTCCGCAATGTTACATGATTAAGAAATTTCTTCCCCGTTTTTCAAAAGTTGCGACTTATGGTTCCTTCGCGATGAGTAGAATACAATGCAAAAAAAAAAACAAATTTTGACCTTGAAGTTCAAAGTCAAGGTCAATTTTGCGACAGGTCCTTTACACGTATTCCCATCAAATCGAAAGTGCTCGAAACTCGTCTATGACATCCGCGAACAAAGTTTTCTTTTCACCCTGTACAGCTTGCGCCCCGAATTTAAATGTCAACGCCTCGCGCTGCGTGCAGAGGATTTACGAACTAAGAAAAAACGAATTTTCTCGGACGTTCGAATCTCAATTTTTTTTGAAAAAAGGTTTTCGTTTTTCCGCTTATTTATGATATATGGCTGTAAAGCTATAAAAGATGGCATTTTTGTCGTTTCATGGTGGATGGTTTTAATAGTGGGAAAAATATATTCGTAATTTTAACGTTTAGAGTACTTTGGGACGAAAAGAAATTGTAATTATATATAATTTTCTTAATGAAATAATACAATTTTATAATAAACGTTTGCAAGAAAATTTTAAAAGAAACAGCTAGAGAATTTTGTTGTTTTATTGTACTTCATTTCAATTTCACGACAAATGCTTTAATAAATAATCAAGCACACAAGTCAGACAAACTGTTTAAAAGGTTAATGAAGATGTTCAAAAGCAACGTAAGCATTATATTGAACATTGACTGTTCTGATTGTAACTAGACACTGTTTTTTTGATGATGTTCGATGCACTCTAGCTATGATTTAGTCTCTCAATTACTCTCTCCAGTTGATCGGAACTGAATAAATTTACCGATGAAGTGAGAAAACAAACAATTTTTTCCAATAAGGAAATTTCGAAATTTCGACATCGAAACTCGGGACACGTTGTACAAATTCGACCGTGAATTTCGTCCTTTTCTCGAGAGGGATTGATGACGTTTGATGACTGACAGCGGTTGATTTGCAATGGTTGCGAGAATGAGACGAGTTGACAAATTTGTTTAGAGAATGATTCCGTAATTGGGTTTTCCTTCCTTCGGAATCGAGGAGAAAGTAGAAGAGTAACAATTAAGGAATTGAACGGAAGTTTTCCCGCGGCCATTGCGGGTGTGTAACTTGGAAATTACGCGACATCGCAGAAGGTCAACGCGACCATCTGCGATCGATTGTACGATCGAATGATTAAGTCGTAACAAAGAAGTTACAAATTGGCTCCGACACGTAGCGAGTGCGTGAAACTTGTGCATTTAAAATTTATCTCGAGTTCTCTCAAGATGATCTTGCGTTATCTCAAAAATACTCAAAAATGAATACTGAAATAATATCGACACTTGAACTACCGACAACTAAGGTATTGAGAATTGAATCGGCGACGTTCGAAATGCAAGGAATAAGAAAAAATTTACAACGCGACAAAGAAACACAAACTTTCTACCCTTCTATATTTTGCAAAAAAAAAATCATTCAAAAATCTCTGAGAATGTAACATTGTCAATCTGCAAAATCCAGCTAAAAGAATATTACAAATCGGTCGTTTTGACCACTTTGTGGTATTTCTAGTTGTTGAAATTGAATCTCTCGCGCGAGAGAACGATTTATTTAAAATTTATTTCGACGATACGCCAAAAATAAAAATAAAAAATCGAGCCACACACTTCCTTCCGATTCTCCAAAACGTTCGTCGCAAACAACTTCCACCTTCACAACGTGAGAGAACCTGTTCTGCGGGTCGAAATCGATCTCTTCGCTTCGAGACTCGAGAATATTTCACAACACTCTGAACAATAACGAGGAAGCCTTGCCGATCGGAACACTCGGGAAACGCGCGGAGAAATCGACGGCAGATGGTTTCAGCGGCTCGGCCCGAGTGCTCACTGCGATGCAGACCGATTTTTTTCAGTCGCGTCAACGACTCGTTGACGTTCGTCCGTTAAATAACAAGTGCGATCTAGCCGCGGCGATTCAATTCAAAAGCTCGCGAGTCGCGCGCGATCGAACGTAGGAAACGACGTTCAAAGGTTCTCTTTTGCACGATAGATTAAATTAGCCAACATGGCTGTGGTTTTCTTCTGTCGCAAAAAAAAAAAAAAAAAAAAAAAAAAAAGAAACAATCGACATTCGATCACGTTTTCTCTTGAATCAACATTTCCTATAAATATCTTTTCTCTTGAATCAATATTTCCTATAAATATCTCGCTTAGAGAATATTTAATATAATGTATGTATATATTTTTAATTATAAATATATAACTAAGATATTTTTTAAAACAATCATACATTTATAATTGAGGTATTTTAATTATTAAAATATATATATATATATATATATATATA